CACTCCAGTATATTTGCCAAGAAAATCCCAAATGGGGTCATGCAGAGTCAGACGCAAGTGAACAAAATAATTTTTATGCCTTTTTTTTTTATACCAAATCAACAACAATAACAACAAACATTTATTAAGCTTTTATTCTGTATCTGGAACACTCTCCCCTCTCATCTCGGCCACATGGCTTCCCTGACTTCCTTCAAGTCTCAGCTAAAGTCCTACCTTCTGCAGCAAGCATTTCCCAATCCCCCATAATCCTTCTGCATAGATCTTGTTTGTACCTAATTGTTTGCATGTTGCCCCTCCCTCCATTTGACTGTGAGCTATTTGAGAATAGGGACTCTTTTTTCGGCCTTTCTTCATGTCCCCAGCATTTAGCACAATGCCTGGCACATATTCAATGCTTAATAAATGCTAATTGACTGACAAACAACAGCCAGGCACTGTGCTAAGCAATGGGAACACAAATACAAGTAGAAAGACAGTCTCTGCCCTCAAGAAGGGCATGAATCCCTCATTCTGTGAAAGAAGACAATTGCATAAAAGAGGGCTGAAAAGTGTGGAGAGGGTAAGGAGGAGACAAGGAATTGGGTGGTGAAGTCAGGAGAAGAAAGGATGGCTCCTCTGGGTCTTGCCTCAAAATGGTGATTCCAGCAGGAATTTGCCAATGAGAGAAAGTAGGATGGGTTCTTTCCAACGCCTTCCTACTTCACTCTTTTCTTTTTTTTCTTCTCAGCCTTGGCCTTGCACATTTTACTTTGTTCTTTTTTTCTCCTTCCTCCCTCCATCCCCCAACTCAGCCTAAGAAGGCTACAAATGAGCTCAGATATATTTATATATACACACATACATACCTATATACATGTACAAACATACACACATGTATGCAAATATGCACACAAAGCTATATACACAGACATATAGACACATACATATACTTAGATATCTATAATCGTATCCATGTATAGACATACGCATTCATATGCATCTATGTAAGACTGCACTATACTTATTTGTCCTTTGTTTCTCTGAGGGTAGATAATCCTCTTTTCATATTTTTCCAAACCAACTAACTCATCATTTTTTGCAATCCAACCTTATACTGTCTAGTTATTTTAAATAGTCCCAAACAACATTGATGAATATGGCTGACATATAGTGTAGTTTCCCTATTTTTCCCCTTTGATTAAATTTATTTTAGTCTTAACTTTGCCCAAGATCATGATTACCACCCCTGCTCCTTTTTCCCTAATAAATTCTACTTTTTTTTTTTTTGGCTAGGCAATGGGGTTAAGTGACTTGCCCAGGGTCACACAGCTAGTAAGTGTTATGTGTCTGAGTCTGGATTTGAACTCAGGTCCTCCTGAATCCAGGGCTGGTGCTCTATCCACTGCACCACCTAGCTCCCCCTATAAATTCTACTCCTGATCTTTGTCTTATGTTTGTATCTTATTTCCTATCCCTTCTGACTCCTCTACTTTACTTCTCTCTGCTACCTTGCCCTATTACTTAACCTAACCCCCCTCCAGTGGTCCCTCTCTTATCCTACCATTCCCTTTAATCTAAACATCCTTCTATACCCAACCTTATCTTATTCTCTCAACTTCCTCTCTAAAAATTCTTCCCTTATCTCCTCCCCCAATCCCCTTAGCCTTTTATTTCTTTCTGAATTTAGAAGGCTTTTATACCCATACATGTGTGGGTGTGTGTATTGTTCCCTCTTAAACCCATTCTCAATTAAAGTAGGGTTCCAGAACTACCAGCCCTCATCCCCCATCTAATTCTCTTGTATCAGTTCTTCCTCTAGAACTTCATTTGTATAAGATAATCACTCTTTTTACCTTCTAAATGGTTTTTACTTTTTAGAATCAGGTCACACTCAGGTCTACCCCAATCTTACTGTATTTTACCACATAATCATCGCAGATTTATGCCAAAAAATTTTGCAAAAAAGTGGGGTGCGACCATTCTGTGAAGCTTTTAAAAATGTGTCAGTGTTACTTAAAAATCATTTATTACTAAACTGTCTTTGGTGCAATATTAGGATGCACAGAATACTCGTGAATATATGTTAAAATTGAGTTCTGCAATTTGCATGTGCTGAGAATTCTAGGCTCATGACTTGCTATGTGCTATCCATGTGCCACAGGTGAATACATTGCTGCTCTGTTTACCTTTTAAGTAGCATGACAAACAGAATGATACCATGAGACAATTACATGATGAAAGCTTATAAAACAATTTTTGGACTGAAAACAAAAAAAAACCAAGGTTCAACACATATGTGATGGCAACGATTATGTGATGAAATATGACATTTTTGAACTCAATTACTAATAACAATCTTAGACATACATTTTATATTTCCTCATATAAAAAGTACACAGTCTGTCCTTTTCGAGTCCCTTGTAATTAGTTTTTGATATGTACCTTATATTTCTCTTGGATCTTATATATCAAATCTGTTAAGTTCAGGGTTTGATTTGTTTTTTTTTTTTAAACAACACCCTGAAAGTCTGGAAATTCATTAAATGTCCGTTTCTTTTTATTCAGGGCTATGCTTAACTTTGCTGGGTATGATATTTTTGGCTACAAATCCATTTCTTTTGCTTTTCAATATATAGTGTTTCAAGAGCTTTGGTCTTTTAGTGTTGCCACTGCTAGGTCTTATGTTATTCTAATTGTGTGTTACTCTTAATTAATTTTTTGTGTGTGTGTTGCTGATAACTGTTTTCTCCTTGAACAGGGAGTTTTGGAATTTGATTATAATGTTCCTGTAGGTTTTCCTTATAAAATCTTTTTCAGGTCGCGATCAGTGGATTTTTTTCCATTTCTAATTTCCCTTCTTGTTCTAACACTTCAGGACCATTTTCTTTAATTATTTCTTGTATTATTGTATCAAGATCCTTTTTTTTTGGCCGTACCTTTTAAGTAGGCCAATTATTCTTATGTTTTCTCTTCTTGATCTGTTCTCCAAATCAGTTGTTTTTCTTATGTTTCATACTCTCTAATATTTTTTCATTCTTTATATTTTGTTTTATTATTTCTTAGTTTCTTATAACCTCACTGTCTTCCCTTTGCCCAATTCTGATTTTCAAGAAGTTATTTTCTTCTTTAAGATTCTGAAACTCGCAGTGGATAGAGCACCGGCCCTGAAGTCAGGAGGACCTGAGTTCAAATCTGGCCTCGGACCAAACACTTGACACTTACCAGCTGTGTGACCCTGGGCAGGTCACTTAACCCCAATTGCCTAAAAATAAAAAAAGTTTAAAAAAAATCTCATATGGAAATGTTTTGTGTGACTTCACATGCATAATTTCTTGCCTTCTCAATGGGTGGGAGAGGGACAGGAGGGAGAGAGAAAATTTGGAACTCAAGATTTTTAAAAATGGACATTAAAAATAAAATTTTTAAAGAGTAAAAGAACCCCATTTTGTTAAGCCAATTTCCCTAATTACATTGTAACCCTGGTCCCAAAGTCCATTGGTATGGGACTCTCTCTTTATTGGAGGAGACCAATATCTTAAGTCTGCATGAGGGGCAGGGTGAAGTTGGTGAGAGAAGCAGATTCTCTCTGCTCTGCTCTTGAATCTCCTTTTAGCTTCAAGACCCTGAGTCTCTTCAGACTTCAGGTGCTTCTGGCTTCCAGCTTCCACGAGAAGATGAAAGATGCCAGCCCTGTTTCAGGTTGCTGAGGGCAAAGACTCAGGGAAGAAGCCAACACGAGGGGAGCTAGCAGTCTCCATCGTGACCCTGTCACCAGCTCGCTACACTAGACCTAGCACTCTCTTCCTTGAGTTAGGCTGAAGTGCCTTGCTCTTTTACTGTTTTGTCTGGTATATATTCTCCTACATATACTTTCTCTGATTTCTGTCTGGCTATGGAATTTGGATAAACTAGGGGTTTTGTTTGTTTTTTTTCCTGTGTCATGTGTGTTCATTGTGGAGCTGGTATTTGGCGGAAAAGGGGTCAAGCCTTAGATATACAGTGTGGGTTCCTGCTTCTTCCATTAATAAAACAGCAATCACAGGTTTAATTGGACCTGAAAACTACATCCTCCAGACTAACAATATTTCGGGAGCAGATAGATAGATAGATATAATTCTAGCCTAGTAGTCTCTCTCTCTGAGTAGAGTGGTCAAGCTTCTGGTCCCAACTTCCTGCTTCCCCTCCTGGCAAGGAAATAAGGTCTCCCTTGGAGAAGGTTGGGGGAAAAGAGGCTAAAGATGTCTGTTCTTGTTCCCTTCCAGCCACACAAGGATATCTCCATGTTACATACAGGGGTCAGCCTTCTTGCATTAGGATCATAGATTTTAAACCTGGAAGAGACCTCAGTGACCATATACTCAAATCCCTTAATTTTGTAGATGGGAAAACTGAGGCCCAGAGATATTAAAGTGATTTGCTTAAGGTCAAGGTCCCAAGCAGAGCTGGGACTTGAAATCAGTCAAGTAAATAACCATTTTCCTACTGTATCGCTACCATCCTTTTTTAAATTTTAATTCAATTTTATTTTATTTTCAAGTCCTTTCCATAAATCCTTCTTTTCATCTTAGGTTCCTTGTTATCCTAAGACTGAATTGTGAAGATCTCTCCCCAAACCTGCTGATCCAATTAAAAATAAACCACTGGGGTCAATATTTCATCTTTCCCAGCAATATTTGTACATTAAAAGGATTACCGGAAAAGGACAGGGAGAAAGCGAGATTCCTTCCCCAACCACAACACAACACAAAATCCCCCATGGGAATCACGACCAATGACCAAGTCCACAAGTAATGGAGTGTGTGCCTGCATGTGATTGTGATGAGGGAAACGAAGAGGGTAGGACTGGAACGGGACGGGGACCTCCAGTGCTATTTTGCAATTGGCACATCTCAGAAACTTTAAAGCTTCCAATTTGAGAACTCGTGAGGGGCCCTACTTCTCGCCCCTCTTTCCTCCCCCCCAACCCCCCCACCCCGCCCCCATACTCGTCCCCAGGAGCTAGCATACAGACTCTAAAGTGGTCTCACTTTTTCACTTTATTCATTTTTGGGTGAGAAGGGATAGGAGGTGGGCTGGGATGTCGAGGTTTCAGCTCTCCATTTTCCTCCCAGGGTCTGCTGGGGATAGGAAACGTCAGGTGCTGAGACAGTCAGCCGAGTCCAGAGACAGGAAAACATCTGCCTTGCACTGGAAAGTCCCGAGCCCATCTGGAAGCAGCTCGCAACTCTGCAGATTCGGGGTGATGTCCTTCACACAAACCGCCTAGATAGTAAGGGGACCGTACAGGTAAAGAAGGCGAGACGCATCCTGGACGGCAGCCCCAGCCTCCCGCATGGGTTCCCCTAGCCGTCCTGCGCCCCGCACCTTTTCCAGACTCATCCCCCCCCTCATCACCTGCCACCCACCCCCAGCCCTCTGGATCCTCTCAGGGCACCCTGCCTCGTCCTGTCGCGGGATGCCCCAGTCACCCAACACTCACGAGGTTCCGAAGGCTGGTTCGAGGCTCAGGAAAGGCGCTGTTTCCAGTGTCTCCGCTGTCCTGCACCAAGTCAGAGCGCCTGGCATATGGAGAGCGGCGGATGCCAGACAGCAGCCCTGACGCCCGGCCCACGGAGTAGTAGCTGGGTCCGGCTGATTGCTTGTACCAGGCGTGACTGGGTGGCACCAGCAAGAGGCCAAGGGCCAGGAGAGCCGCCACTAGCTTCCCGGGGGAAGGCATTGGGGAGGACAAATGGGACAGACTCACGACGGACAAGCTGTAGTACCCTTTCTTCCAGCGACCACACGCTCTGAGCCTTTGAGGAGCCCGATTGCTCTTTATATCGGAGGTGCTGCAGGGCATACTGTGTGGCGAGCGGGGGTGGAGGCGGGCCTGGGGGGCTCCGCGCCTTCCCTCCCAGTTGCAGCACCCCAAACACAGGAAAGGCAGGAGGCAAGCAGAGCAAAGGAAGGAGGGGGGAACCTGCGGGGGCGGAGTCAGCTCTTAAGCTGCTCTAAAGCCCCAGCAGCACCACCTCCACTTGGGGAGAGAAGGGGGGTGCCAAGCAGGAGCTGTGCGAAATTCTTTGCTCGCCCTCAAAGGCAGGGAAATCCATGGAAACAAATAAAGACAATCTTTGGTCTTGCACCCTGGAAGTCCTGGACATCTCCAAGTCCAGCTATCTCCTCGAGCTGGCTCAGCAATACTTAACCTCCTGGTTCAGCATCTACAGCCTGAAGCTTTCAGTGGATGTAAGGATATCAGGCCAGGTGAGAACCCACACTTCGGTGCCCAGGCATGTGCTAGGTTGGATGACCTTAGAACTTGGTACCATCCCAATCTTTCCAAATATTGTTTGATATCCAGCCCTTTCTCAGGGACCCCTTTCACACAACCCAAGTGATGGAAGACCAATTTGTTTTAGAAGGTGCACACACCATTTAAAGTGGAAAATGTGGGCTGAATCCCAAAGTACCTCAAGTATTTGGAGTTTGTCCTAACTTAGCTAGCCCTAAGAACCCCAGGTTCAGAGTGGGGGAAAGGCAAATGACATTAAGTACGGTTTCTTAGGGGTCAGGCGCAATGGTAACAAATTCTGTGGCCAATCTGTTCCTGACTGGAACACTACAGCAGACACACAGCAAGGAAGGACAGGAGCTGGCCAGCAAAGATGTCCTTCCTGGGCTAATGGTGGAAAGTGACAATATTATTAACTCATTATTTGAAGTGAAGAGAAAAGCAACTCTTTGATATCAGCATTTAAAATAGGTTTCTAAACAAAGATTCCATGGAGATTCTGAGAGCTTAGCAGGTTGTTTCATCGTGGGAGGGGGGATCTGTTTGGGTCAGTGACATCTAAGAGACAAAGGGGCAAGATATGAAAAACAGAAATTCTTGGTCGGTCGAGAACAAAGACTGTTCTGAAGTTGGTGTCACTTCCTCGAACTCTGGGGGGGGCGGCACGCGGCAATTTTAAACCAGTGGATTCTCCTAACAGGAGGGGGGCTGAAAATACGATAGCCAGGAAGCTCACATGGCTCAGATGAAGGAAATATGTGAAGGACTAGAGTGGAAATGAGGTGACATGGACTTCCTCAACTATCCTTACCCACTTCCCAGGTTATAAGACTGATAAAAGTAGAGCTATCCTCCTTTAAGGAGCATTCAATACCATCTGAAGAGTTTTTATTAAATGCACACTGTGCAAATACCATTACTTTTAAGTGCCCGGGGAAATGCAAAATATGTTTGAGAGGATCTGCCCTCGAGGTGTTTACTGTTTCTATTAGACAAACTATATTTCTTGCAACTTCCTTGGGGAAAGAAAAACATCCAGCTATGTCACGCCATGACTCTGGTAACATCCTCTGGCATCACTGGCCTGCTTAGTAAAGGTTATCTGAAAGCTGAAGAGACACAGTAGGAGTGGAAAACAAGCTCTCTGTATATTGAAGTTGAACTAGATTATCTCTAAAGTGCTTTTTTTCTTTTTTTTTTCAGTATTTTATTTTTTCCCAGTTACATGCAAAAACAATTTTTAACATTCATTTTTAAAACTCTGAGTTCCAAATTCTCTCTCTTCCTCCCTCCCTACCCTCCCTCATTGAGAAGGCAAGCAATTTCATATAGGTTATACATGTGTAGTCATGCAAAAGATATCCCTAATAGTCATGTTGTGAAAGAAAACAAAAAACCTCTAGAAAAATAAAGTAAAACAAGTATGCTTCAATCTGTATTCAGACAAAAGGTGCTTTTTTGCCATCTCTAACATCCTATGATTCTATATCACAGGATCAAAAATGATAATAACGTAAAGAAAAATGACAACAAAACACTTGACAAACTGGGTGTGCTGGTGCATACCCCTGGTATTAGGGATGCTGAAGCTGGCACATCTCTTGAACCTGGCAGTTCTGAGTTGAAGTCTGTCTACACCAAGTACCGCCTTAATATGGCGAGCCCCTGAGAGTGGGAGTGGGGGTGGGGATGAGGTAAGGTTGGAAGATAGTCTGAGGTTGCCTAAGAAGGTTCAAACTGACCTAGATTAGAAATGGAGGAGGTCCAAGATCCTATGCTGACCAGAATGGGATGGGGCCAACGAACTTATAGTCTGACCAGGACAGGGAAACTCAGTCTTTAAAAAAATAAGAAAGCTTCACATCATTAATTGTAGCAGTGGCAAAATGTGGTGATTAATCATTATCAGACACAGGCAATGTGCTGATTTTCCTTACAAGGGAGGGCTTTAATGGATCAGGTACCATTAAAGAGTTACAACGATATGAACGAGAGCATCAGTAAAATAAATGAAAAGGGTGGAGGCAGAAGAAAACAAGTGCCCAGCCTCAATGGCCAGTATGGTTTCAGAGGATCATCTATTTAGAAATGGCAGAGACTTTAGAGGTCATCTAGTCCAATTTCTACATTTTACAGATGAGAAAACTGAGGTACAGAGACACTAAGTGACTTGGGTCCGGGTCACCACAGGAAGTATTTGAGTCCAGGTCTTCCTGACTCCTAAGTCCAGTGTTCTCTCCACTAGGCCACGATGCCTTTCACAAAAGCCCCCACTTTAAAGATGCTGAGGATCAAACCTTCACACATGCCAAGCATGTCCTCTCCAATGAACAACCTCTCCTAATGTTTCTTGTTCTGTTTTTTGGGGCTTTCATGGAGCCATTTGGGGGTATAAACTCCAGTTCCATTTGTGTCTGACTTCTCTCCCCAAATTTCTCATTGTACAGTATTCACCACACCCTCCCCCAAATGCTTTTTCTACTCTGTCAACAAGAACTATTCCCTTGGACTGTTAAACATGAGCCAAGTTAAGCTATTTGAGAATTCGATGCATACAGAAATACCTCTGTCTCACCCCAGTGTGTTCTAGTCACTGCTTGTCCCCCTCCTAGTGTTTATGTCTTCTTACCTGTTTAATTTATATCCGAAAGCCCTAAAGCAGCAGTAAGTCTCCTCTGGTTTTTTGTTTGTTTGTTTTTACAGGAGGGCCTCACTGATGTTTCACAGAAATGTTTATTCATGAGCATTTTCATATCAAGACACATCAAAGACTTATAAACCTATCAAGTGAAGAACTGGGGGGCCCTAGGGCCTTTAGCAAGGCTCTGACAGTTTAATGAATTTTAGTTCTCAAGATAAAAAGTTTCAACACTGTAAAATGGAAAAAAACAAAATCAAGTCCAGTCCTCCTTCCAACCCTCTTATAATCAAAGAAGCCTAATCCTGCAACCACACCAGCTTCTATCCACTAACAGAGAGGGTTAAAACACATCAGAAGAAGAAAGGTGACTGTGTGCCCACCTTGTCTCCCACGTCCTTCCTATTATGTGGGTGGTCTCAGGTTCCTGCTAAAAGGATCAAGGCCTACAGGAGTGTAAAAATGACCCCTTTTTGTAGCTTGGGATCAATATGCCCAAGGTTACAGAGTTCTTCACCACATGACAGGTAGAAGGCAGATGTCACAGAAGCTATCAGTCACTCCTTGAACTTCCATTCCTGTCGACACATGGGACAATGCTGCTGCACTTGCTGAGAATTAAGCCACTTGAGAATACAGTGCATGTGGAAACAGTGTGAGCACTGTCCCCACACAAGGGGGCAGTCATCCCCAGGGACCTTACCTGTTATTAAAAAAAAAAATTTATTTAGGTCACAAGAAGCAAGTTCGTCATCTAAAGTTATAATTTACTGACTACATTAAATTCAACTATTTTATTCCTTTATCTTTAATTCAAACATTTATTCAGTGTCTACTATGTGCAAAGCATTCATACCCTTTTAAACTGAGACTACTTGAGAGCCCAGTTCCCATTATAAACTTGGCTTTTTTTGGAGACAGAAATTCCACATAGTCTAAAATATGCCAGTAGGAATGAGAAATCTTGCCTCCGCTTTGAATTCAGAGCTCCTACATTCTCCCATCTAGAAACTGGGGAAAATCTCTTAGCCCCATCTCTGTGGTATGTTCTGGAGAATAACTACAAATGCAAATAACTATAAAAACAAAGAAAAATAATATTACTGCTTCAAGGGATCATCTGGAAAACTCCTTTGGCTCCTATTTTTTCCCATTTACAAAACTGCCATGTTTTTCCCCTCCATCTCTAGGAACAGGGTGGTGAGTTAATAACAATGATAGCTTGAAGGAACTGAGGTGGTTTACCTGGAGAAGAAAGATGTGGTGGGAGACATGATAGCCATCTTCAAAAGCACATTTAGGTCCGGCATAAGAAAAAATTTCCTAACAATTTTTCAACATCCAAAAGTGAAATGGTAGCACTGAAGTTTTTGGATAAACAAAATTAATGCTGCTAGGAGCAAATACTTTTTTTTTTCCCATCAAATATTTGAAAGGTATATAGATATAATATCTACAGGTATAGGACATAAGATAAAAGACATCATCTTACATCAAAGATATTATAGGGAATTAACAGGTCAAAGAATATAAACAAATTTTTTTCAAAAGAAGCATGGCAAACTTTTAACAGCCATATGAAATATTATTTCTAATTTCTTAATAAGAGAAATGCAAATGATGATAAATAAACTCAATTTTCCCAGGAGACATAGAGGACTATGGATACAAAATGTGGCTATCATGGTCAGATATGATTAACTGGATGTTTTTGCAATCTCTTAAAGCCCCACTACAATCATGTCATTTTTTCTCTGCTTAGAGTTATTTGAGCTTTTAGTTATTCCCTACAAACTGCCTACTAGACATTTCAAATTGGATGCCCTATAGATAGCTCAAATCCAACAGGTACTAAACAGAAATCATTATCCCTGCACCCCTTTTGTCTCCAAATCCACCTCTCTTCCAAACTTTCTTATTACTGCTGAGGGAACCACCCATTCTCCCGGTCACCCAAGTTTGTAACCTATCTTTGATGCCTTACTTTTCTCTCATTCCATATTCCATATTCAGCTAACAAATCTCATTTCTATCTCCAAGACATCTCAAATTCTAAACCATTCTTTCTGACTCATACAAAGTAGCTAGGTGTCAAAGTGGATAGAAAAATGGGGCTGGTTAGGAAGGCCTGAGTTCAAGTTCAAATCTGGCCCCAGACTTCCACTAGCTGTGCAGCCCTAGACAAGTCACTTAACCCGTGAGGATTACAACTGCAGCACCTACCTCGAAGGGTTGTTGTGAAACTCAAATGAGATAATCATTTTAAAGCCTTAGTATAGTGGTATATAAATGCTTATTCCCTTCTCTTCCCTTATTTTATTTCCCTCCAAATACTGCCATTACACTAGCTCAGGACCTCATCACCTCTCACTTGTAAAAGCCTCCTAATTATTCTCCTTGCCTCAAAAATCTCTTTTAATTTATCCTCCAACAGCTGGCAAATTTTATCTTCTTAAAGCCCAGGTCTACCCATGTCATTTCCATAATCAAAAACTCCAGTGGCTCCCTATGGCTGCTTGGATCAAATTTAAACTCTGTCAGGCGTATGAAGTCCTTCACAGCCTTGGCCCCAATCACCTTTCTGGCCTTACTATATATATTACTCTTCTTTATGCACTGTACAATCCTGCCAAATTAGCTCTCTTTCTATTCCTCAGATAGAACATTCCACCTCCCACCTTAATGCCCTTTTCAGATTATCTTCCCTGTGCGGATTATAATCCTCTCACCTCTATGAGACTCAGCTCAAGTGTCACCATTTTCATGAAATCTTTCCTGATGCCCCCCACCAGCTCCCAATGTCACCCCTCCCAAAATTACTTTGTATATATCTTCTTTACATGTTCTCCCTCCTTATAAAAATATAAGCAAATACTGCTTCCTTTTAGTCTTTGTATCTCTAGTACTTAACACAGTGCCGGCTAAATATCTGCTGACAGACTGGCCCTGGAGTCAGGAGGACCTGCGTTTAAATATGCTCTCAGACCAGACACTTGATACTTACTAGCCATATGACCCTGGGCAAGTCGCTTAATCCAAATTGCCTCACCAAAACAAACAAACAAACAAACAAACAAACAAATGATAAATATTTGCTGATAAGATTTTTCTTTGTTACAAGGGAAACCGGGGATACATATGAAACCGTCTGCAACGTAAAAATTTTAAAAAAAATCAGTAAAACCTTTTAAAAAGTGAAAGATACTGTGGGAAGAGTCAGTGGATTTCCTGTACAATGAAGGTCTTCAAACAGAAGGTGGATGACCACTCATTGGGAATGCTGAAGAAAGGATATCTCTGGGCTGGGTTCTGGTTTCTTGATTCCTGTTTTTTAGTCAACCCTGCCTCAAGAAGTAGGCCTTTCCCCTCAAACCCTTTCCTCTTTCTAACTTCCCTACTAATGTCAAGGGAACTACCAATCTCCCAGTCCCCCAGGCCTGAAACCCAGGTGTCCTCAACTCCTCACTATCTCACCCCCCATACCCAATCAGCTGCAAAGGTCTGTCAATTTCACCTCTACAACATTTCTCAAACATGACCCCTTCTCTCCTGACATTGCCAGCACTCTTGCAGGCCCTCATCACCTCACACCTTGAATACTGCAATAGCTTGGTGCTAGGTCTGTCTCAAGGCTTTCCTCCCTCCAATACATCCTCCATTCAACCACTAGTGATTTTTTTAAAAGTACAGGTCTGACTATGTGATTTCTCTATTCAATAAATTCCAATGGCTCTCTATCATCTCCAAGATCAAATACAGAACCTTTTATTTGGCACTCAAAGTCCTTCACAACCCAGCATGTGTCTCAACCCTTCCTGGCATTCCTCAAACAAGACATTTAATTTCTTGGCTGCAGGCATTTACTCTGGCTGTCTTCCATGCCTACAATGCTCTCTCTCCTCATCTCTACCTCCTGGACTCCCTGGCCTTCAAGTCCCAGCTAAAATCCCCACCTTCTGCAGAAAGCTTTTCCTAATCCCCCTTAATTCTAGTACCTTCCCTCTGCTGATTATTTCCTATTTACCCAGTATATATAGTTGCTGCTTGTTGTCTCCCCCATTAGATTGTAGCTTCTCAAGGGCAGGGACTGTCTTTTCTCTTTCTTTGTATCCTAGCTCTTAGCTCAGTGTTTGGCACATAGGAGGCGCTCAACTGTTAAGAAAGAGTCATATGGGGCCCCAAGGGTGCAGATTATTCTTCTGAGTTTTAGAACAGCTATAGGGAGCTAGCTAAAGGGCCCACCGCTCCTTCATAAATAACATTAATGAGGCTGAAATAGAGCCGTCTCCAGGGAAAGCAAAACAGAAGAACAAGGAAGTATTTTTAATCAAGTCTATGATGGACTGTCCCCTGGGATGTCAAAGGCTCTTTTTCTTGTCCTGGGTGCCAAAAAGAAAAGAACATCTTGGATCTTCACTATATAGGACATAACAGAGTCTGATGAGCTGGAGAGACTACTCCAGGTTCTATGTTGTCTTTTTCACAGGTAAATATTGTCTCCCCAACACCTCTTTTCTGTGATATCCTCCACACTGCCTATTACAATATTGAGCTCCACCCACAAGGAATGCATAAGTGATGTTGATGGCCAATTGCTGCCTAGCCCTCAATGGCTGGAGCTCTCTTATGCTCAATCAAGGCAGCCTTAGAGAGGCCAGTGACACACTTCAGATCTGCCAGATGTTTCTAAAGAACTGTTTGAAAAACTCTCCAAAATTCTCCCTGTGTCTTGGGAAGACTAATGGAATAGCTAGCAAAAACTATGGGTTCTTATGATATAAAATGGAGTAGAACCAGAACAATTTACAGAACTACCATTCCAGCCCTTAGTACTTAAATGCTCACTAAAAACTCATTGTGAAAAGGCAGTTTTCAAAGTTAGAAATCCAAATTATCAACAATCATTTGAAAAATGCTCTAAATGACTAATAATTAGAGAAATGCAAATTAAAGCAACATCCTATCTCACATTTATCAGACTAGCAAACATGACAAAAGGAGAAGAAAATAAATACCGGAGAGGCTGTGAGAAAACAAGAACTCCAGTACACTATTGGTGGAACTGTGAATTACTCCAGCTATTCTGGAAAGCAATTTGAACGAGGTCCCCAGAATTACCAAACCACACATGCCCTCTGACCCAGCCACACTACTAATAGGTGAATACCCCTAAGAAATCAAAGAAAGATAAAAATGATCTATCTATATGTGTAAAACTCATTTAGAGCCATTCTTCATAGGAGCAAAAAAATCAGAAACTAAAGGGGTAGGAGGGATGGAGGTCCTTTGAATGGGGAATTGCTAAGCAAATTATAGTATATCATCATAGGGCAGCTAGGTGGAGAAGTGGGCCTGGAGTCAGGAGGACCTGAACTCAACTCCAGCCTCAGACACTTATTAGTTGTGTGACCCTGTTTGCCTCAGTTTCTCATCTGTAAAATGAGCTGCAGAAAAAAACAGCAAAAACCATTCCAGGATCTTTGCCAAGAAAATCCCAAATGGGGTCATGGAGAGTTGGGACACAACAGAAGTGCCTCAACAACAACACCATGCCCTAAGAAATGGAACTACCAAACACTAGGTTCCTCTGATGCAAAGTAAAGTTAGGAGAACTAGAACTAGTAGCATATCATTATAGCAATCTTGTGTTTGACAAATGTACAGATTTAAGCTTTTGGGATAAGAATTCATTGTTTGGTTAAA